GGAAGAGCAATGAAGATAAAGGAGGATTCAGGGAAATGTGCTAACGGAATCTCATTTAAAAACTGATGAGCCATTGCCTTTTCTCTCTTCCTTGTTAGTGAGCTGCTCAGAAAGCAAAGGGCATGCACCAGCAGTCCAGGAGGAGAGACAAAACCCAACCTGAGGAATGATTAATGTACAGTCATGCTCCTCACAAGTGAGAAGAGCAGCCTTTTTACAGCCTCAGTGCATCCTGAGGCTGTAAACACGCTTTTAATGACAAGGAGAAAAACATGGCATGTATGGCTTGCTAAGAAGCAAACACAGCACTGACAATTATTCACTGATACACCTGTGACACCTCCATGTGACAATGACCTTAGTGATCCTGAAATCAAACTATTTATGCAACTGCAAGGACTGTTCTTATTTACAAATAATACTAAATGAAACATCATGACTGTTTTCAGAACAGCAGGAGAGGAAGACTGTACAAAGGACAGTGGTTTTTGACTTTTAAAAATCACAAGGTATCACCAAGTCTGCCAAAGGGTTGCACAGGACATATATTTTCCTTTAATGACCATATATACATATCAAACACAGGAGCTCAGTGTACACATACATGCATACCTACCAATTTTTGGGAATCTGCTTTTGCTTATGGTTTTATGAAGGCACTCCAGGCCTTTTAAAATCAAACATATTTTACTGACTGATGAATTGAAAACAAGGGATGAAACAGAAAATCACCACACAACCCCAGTTAACCAAATGAGGAAGCCTTTGTTTACCCCAGGATTGTTAAATAAGATTGTTAAATAACTCCAAAGGTCAGGATAATAGTGTAACCTATGTAAAGAGTGATTACAGTCTCCTGGAAAACACTTCTGCCTGAGGTGAGATAGCAGCCACATCCTCAGATTAAACTTTCATCAGCAGATCTCTGTGTTTCATCAATCTTTCATTATGGCAGAGCTTAGAAAATCATCTGCTCATGTGTCATTAGAAAATCTCTTCATCTTCCAAAGCAGAAACTACCCAAATAAATTAGTACAAGCAAAAGAGTTAAAAGGAGGGCCTGCAGACCATTTTCAGGTTCAACAGATCAAAATACAGGGAAATATACACTTCTACAGTATTTTCAAATACTACCATTCACAACAAACCCAATATGTTTTATTATACAGGTTCTTGGACTAGGAGATATAAATAATTAAGGAAGTTCATGTGCAACAGCTTCCAGAAGAATTTCCCACCAGAAACTGGGATTTCATCAACTTTATCAACACTTAATCCACCTAAGCAGCAATGTGATCCCTAGCTTTTTTCTGGTGATGGCAAACCCATAATCAGGGAAAGTTGCTTTTGCAGTCAGTGAATGGCTTTGGTATTTCTCACCTCAGTAGCAACAGGAGATTTTACCAGGATGAATGCAAGGGCTGTGGGCTAATGTATACATGAAAAGAGTTGCAGTGCAGTTTCCAGCTCAACAATATGGTTTTCTCATCTTGTGTTCTCCTTTTGTCTCAAAATGTTTTTTCTTGTGTGTTAGTGCTTCTTCAGCAAATGCTACATCTTTTATGCTACCTCTCAAAGCATGTTTCCTACACTGAACATCTCTACACCCAAAACATATTGTACATCTGATTATGCACTCATAAGTTTGTTCTTTCTGCTTGTCATTTTGATCTTCTGCTATTCAACAACACACATTCTAAATTTATTTAAAAGTAATAGCTACACTACTTTTCCTACAATCTTGTTCTTTAAAATGGGTCAATAAAACATTAAACAAATTAAATTTCAAAAAGAATGTGCTCCAGTCCTGAAAGTCATAGACACAAAATTTCTGTAAAAGCACCTATCAAAATTCTTACAAATTGCTATGAATAGGAATGTTCTGAAATAAAATTTCATATGATGAAGAAACGCCAAATTTCAATAAAAGTGGCTAAGAACTTTAGTGTGCCAGCAAATGAAATATTAAATCTGGTTTTGACTTTGTGTTTAATACCTAAACACAATATATATTAAAATTTAATAAATTATTTCTTGCTGCTCTTTACAGCAAGTGCTCAAGAAACGTCATGCTCTCTAGAAAGAAGAAATGTTCACTTTGAACACAGGAAGGCCTACTCCCAGTACTGACAGTAGAAACATGAGAAAAAATTAGTTTATTTCCTCTACCAGTTTCTCTGTATTGTCAGTGTCACGTACAAAACTTCCTTTCAGGAAAACAGTTGAGAAAGTGGCTACCTTTTATGACCAAAAGGAACAAACCCTCGGTTTGAGGGGTTCTTGTTTTTTGTACTTTTAAAATTGGACCTGTACTTCTCCCACATATTCCATATCTCAACATTTTTTCTTGATAGAGACATAAGTTTCTGCAGAAGTCTTAGCAGAACTGGAATTCATCTTTGCTATGGAATGAAGAAGGGCAGGAGTGGGATCAGAGATTTCCGATGCCTTGCACGCAGCTTTTGGTAAATGTTGTGGGGCAGCACAGCAGGTCAGAGCACAGAGGGTGACCTGTGCACACACAACCCCTCCCAGCTCCTGCCCTACTGATGGGGCTTATGTTCATCTAGGAGAGTCTGCTATTGCCCCCCACCCCCAGATACACTTCACACAACATTATTGGTGCCACATGATTGCAAAAGGTACATTTCTCTTAAATGTTTCCTAAAAGCATCCAAGACCAGTTCTTTCTTTAGGAAAAGCAGGTACCCAGCCAGAAGAAATATGATTCATTATATTCTTTTATAAAGAACATAATGGAATGATTTTATTTCACAAAGGAATGTAAGTATTTGGGAAAAGAACTGTAAATGCTTAAAAGAATTCATGAAGATCAAAGCTGGCATCTTTTAATGAGTAAAGCTGTATAACATTTAGGTGCCCCTTAAAACGCTCTATTTATTTTCTGACCTAAGCAAGGTACTACAAAAACTAACTTGAAGGGAAATGTGTAATGCACCCATTTTCTAACGCAAACAAAGAACTCTAATGGTTTATTCATTAGGAGTTAAAACCTTTTTACTTCCCAGCATTCCAAACTGGATTTGCCCCTTTTAGATCTCTCAAAAATCCATACCAATGGACATGAAAACCAGTTAACCCATGCTCAATTGACTATCAGTCATTTTTAAGAGTGAAAAAATGAGAAACCTTTAGTCACCTAAAAAATTAGTCACCTTCCCTTTTAGGAATTTAGCCATTGGTAATCAGAATCTTTGAGACAGATAAAACAAGTTTCAGAAAATCTTTTACGGGGAAAGATTTTTCATGCTTGAAATTACATTTGCTATCAAAAGTTAAGAGACAAAAAAACCCCAAACCCCTACTATTGCAAGAATCTTGACAATCACAGAAGGGCTTGGGTTGGAAGGACCTCAAAGATGATCTAGCTCCAACTCCCCTGCCTTAGGCAGGGACACCTTTCATTATACCAGGGTGCTTAGAACTCCATCCAACCTGGCCTTGAACCTTTCCAGGGATGGGGCATCCACAGCTTCTCTAGGTAACCTGTTCCAGTGCCTCACCACCCTCACAGGAAAGAATTTCTTCCTGAGATGTAATCTAAACCTCCTCATTTTCAGCTTGAAACCATTCTCCCTTGACCTGTCACTACATGCTCTTGTAAATTGTCTCACCGCTGATACTGGGGGTTGTCCTGACCCAGAGACAGCACCCTGTACCTGGTCTTGTTAAACCTCATGAGATTTCCATGTCCCCACTTCTCGAGCCTGTCCAGGTCCCTTTGGATGGCATCCTGTCCTTCAGAAGTGTCAACTGCACCACTCAGCTTGGTGTCATCAGCAAATTTGCTGAGGCTGTATTTAATCCCTTCATCAATGTCATTAATGAAGATATTAAGTGACACTGGCCACAGTGCAGATCCCTGAAGGGCACCACTTACCACTGATGTCCACTGGGACTCTCAGCCATTGACCAGTAACCTCTGAATTCAACTATCCAACTTTCATATCCATCCAACAGTCCACTCATCAAATCCATCTCTCTCCAATTAAGAAAGAAGTGTAGTGGGAGACTGTGTCAAAGGCCTTTCAGATAAATGACATCAGCAACACCTCCCTTGTCCAATAATGTGGTTATTCCACCACAGCCAGTATTGTCATGCAGGACTTACCTGACCATTATCAAACACGTTCACAAAAAGCAGAAGCTTGCTAGTGTTACTCAATCCTTATCATCATTTTCTCAGGATGCGTACTGTGCTAAGATCCTGGACTTTCTCAGTGTGAATGGCAATGTTTTCACTACATCAAAATGCCCAATCAGACTGGGAGACAGCCCACTGTCCTGCTCCAAATAAGTAACTTTCACAACGCTGTTTCCACAGCAATATTACATGATGAACAAGAGATCAGTCAGGAAGGAAACCTAAAGAAAGACTGTTTCCAGGGTAGAAGCACACATTCCTCATTGCGTCCTACCACAAGGAACAACTTCAGTTCACAGGCAACGCATTTCAGGGACAAACCTTGGTTTTTTGCAACACCCTTGGGGATTTTCCTACATCATAGAAGTAATAGTAATGACTTAAGACCATTACTTTTCCCTCAATCCAGCTTTTTTCTCCATCATATTAAATACCTCAAGAAAATATAAGCACACACAAACAGTCAGAGCATTGGTAGTACATTTACTTGGACCAGCAGAAAGACATGCTTTCACATAGGCAGGAAAAACATAATACAAGACATATGTGAAAACATGGTTTTATACCAAAAGTACTACATGTATCTGAAACAAATCAATGTCAGTTTTATGCACCTGACTGAATTAATCTGAAAGGCTTGTTCAATGCAGGTTTAACAAAACAGCATACAAGCATACAAGCGATACACCACGAAAAGCAGAGAGTTTAAAAAGCAACACCAGCAATAAAAAGAAGAATTTACCCACCTTCTCCTAGGCCCTGGGACAGAGCAATGTGCACTATGCATTAGCAGACTGAAATAGCACCAAGGCAGACAAGAAGAGCAAACACTCACCGACCATTGTCACGGCCCACGCCCCAGACCCTGATGCTGACGATGGGCTGTGAGTGCAGAACCGTGCGGTCCATGGGGTCAATCAGGTTCAGCATGTCATTCTCCAGTATAAGGTACATGTCTTTGCCCTGCAGTTCCAGACAAAGTACAGTTACACAGTACATCACCCTCTCAAACTGGCTGGCTTCATCTTTACTCGAAGTTTTGGGTTGTTCCAAGAGCAAATGAAAAAAACTTCATATGCTTCTGGTGTGAAAAAGATCTAAGATGTTACCTTTCTGCTGTATTTTTAAACAATACTAATCACAAAAAGCTTTGATGTCTTTTAAATACTCATTCAGACCCAAACTACTGAGTTATTCAACAAGCTATGTGTTCATCTGTTTTTCAGTAAATTCTTCCAAATATATGAGAAATCATGGTCTGTACTCATAGTAAAAGCTTATATCAAAACCTGTACTTTTGAGGCAGAGTTCCTTCCTTCAAAGTGTTTTGTTTGCATAAAATTTAAACAATGGATTATGGGAACAGACAGCAATTTGTACATGCCAAAGATTTACTCTTTGAAGAAAGATTAAAGGGAAAAACCCAGCATTAAAACCTGAATGTGAATTCTGCTAGTGACTGCAGAACTTTGGAGCCAGGACTTCTCCCCAGTTCTTCTGGCATGTAAGAACAAGGATAATGCTTTTTTCTCCTGTAGGAAACAAATTTAGAGAAAATTCTCCTTTTGATGTTAATTCACAAATGCTTATCTTCCTCCTCTTGACAGCATTTGTAATAGGTCTGCTGCCTCCTCTATCACATGTAATATCCCTCTTCTTGGAGGCTGTACACATATTCTTCAGACCATGAGCTCTACAGAAATGATCCTAGACCTATTGCTGAGCAGTAAGACAAGCTCCTGATCAGAAGGTAGAAGCTATCAGCTAAATACAGAGTAATTTGTTTCCTCTCTTTCATGCCAGAATCTATACACAAACAGAATGAATGGAAAGGGTCTGAATCCCTACTGACTAACATTTCAAAACTGACTTTTTTCTTCACCTCAGTGACACAGAAACCCTTTTCCCACTTGGTTACAGTGGCTCAAGTCTTTATGATGTCTACTTTTGTGTTTGTGTAAGAAATACATTAATGCCACTCTGTGAGAGCTTTCTGCCACTGTCTGTAGGCAAGGCAGCAAGGGGCAAGCACTGCCCATCTCCTCTCCCAACCCCAGAGCTCCTAGCAGGGATTCCAAGGGAAGCTGTGACACAGAGCTGGCACTGCAAGTACCAAGAGGGATGTGGGAGACACAGGTGACACCTGGTATGAGCAAAGCCAACTCAAGCATTTTTTGCCCGATGGGAAAAGCACATCTGTGGCTGAGATGCAAGGCTGGATGTATAGGCTGCTCCTAGAGAAGCAGAAACAGATGTAGCTGTGACAGTCATGCAAAAAACAAAACGGGGTAAACAAGAAACACTGAGATGTTAGTGGCAGACAGAAAAAGACACACCACAAAGAAAAAAAGTGAGAAATTTGCTTGGAGGTCAGAAGCAGTAAACAAAATGTGTGAAGAATGATACCAAGTGTCACAAAGATTGCTTTTTGGACCCATTTTATACTTATATATTTGTTCCAGAAGGAAATTATTACAAGAAGGAAAAATATGTTATTAACGCAAAATACACTGGGATTAGAGTAACAAAACAGAATCCAAATTAGCTGGAAAAAAATTGGAGAATGGGCAGATAAGCAACATAAGTCACAGGAAATGATCCTTGCAATGCTCAGGGGATCACTTGTCTGCAGCCAGAAGCAATATATTTTTCTAAATTTTGTTGCCTTATTATACAAAAGCTATTTTAGAGATGAAAGCACTGCATAGGTCAAAAAGAAATTATTTAGACAGGCTAGGAGCTTGAACATAGGCTGTAATGTCTCAGACTGCTGAAGAGCTGCAGAGATCTGGTGGTTTGAGGTGAGGAAGAGCCATGGAGGGAAAGTGAATAAAGGAAAGAGAGGCTCAGTCCCAGCACTTTTTCTGGAAGTCTTACAGGCTGCAGTATATAGGTCAGTGGCAAGAAGGTATCTTTTTCATGTAAGTAATATTCTAATGTACAGAAATGTAATTCATAGCAAAAAAAGCAACACAAACAGGTGAACAGCCATTTTCTGTTTAGATTTTACAGAGCAGTAGAAGTTCAAAATTTATAGGTAATTTCTTTTGGAGCAAAGGGCATGAAATTCCACATTAAATCCACTAACATTAGTTCTGCAGAGTCAGGATCTTACCCAGAGTGTGGGAGGTTTTGTGGTTTGTTTTGCAGTCTTTTAAATCATGAAAACTTGGGGCTAGTCCTAACCCAAATTTCACTTTCATTACATTCTAGCTAAAGAAAATCTTTAGGTAATCTTAAAATTCCTATGTGCAGTCATTTAGCTCCATAACAGATTCCTGCTGTAATTGCTCCATCTGATACATCAGTGATGTAGTATAATTTTCTCAGGTTTCTCTCTAAGACATGCCTCTTCTAATCACTCTTGAAGCCTTACATTGCAGGCAGGAAAATGTGTTTGGATGTAATGAACTCTTTTAAAATCAGGAAGACAATTTGCTTTGGGAGCCATCTATTCAAGCACAGATCTCTATTGTTTTGTCAGGCTGATTTTTTTTTTTTTTTTTAATGAATAGCACTCTTAATTTAAACATCCATTCAAGAGGACCAAAACTTTTTACCACCTTAGCTTGAAAACCTGCAAGGGTTTCCAACAAAGAATAAGGGGGTTGACAGATATAGAAAAAAATGTGAACATTAACTCTTAAAACAAATTATGAGGGTTCAAAGTAAACAATGTATTTCAAGTTGATCAAAGTGCTGCTATCTGAAAAGTGGATGAGATTACACACATGTAAAGATACTGGGGTTTTTTTCTCTCCTGGGGTCAGCAGGAAGTCCAAAGCCCATGACTGACACATCTCTAATTGTTTGTCTTGCTATATTATCTAAAGAAAACTGTTCCCAGGTGTAAGAAAGAAAGGAAAACAATACTTTCTTGTTCACTTGTATGTACAACATATACTTCTTCCATACAAAAATCCTTCTGAAATTATTTTAAATGGCTAGAACACTGGAAATGTGTTCCTTTACACAAAATTTTAAGGGCACTTTCTCCCAGTTGCTCCCCCAGAGCGTCTCGGCATTGCTGTGGTCATAGCTAGGACGGTGAACTGGAGCCATAGACTGCAACAATAACTTGGGAGACTGAATGTTATTTTTTCCTGAAATTTTTACTGAAATGTAGACAAGTCTTTCTTTTGATTTCTTCTTTGTTTGGCAGAGCCATTTCTCTTAGAACATACAAGGGAAAGTAACAACTCTTTTGTCAGTTTTGTATTCAGCTCTTGTGTGGCCAATCCACATTAGTGTAACCCTTCTGAAAATATGTCAGGAGAGAAGTAGAAAGAGATTTGGCAGAAGTTTAGGCTGTTCCATGAACAATCAAATGACAAAGATGTTTTACTGAGGCTTTGTCTCTTATGCTCTCTGTATGTCCCATCTTTTCCCTTCTTGTATCACTTACTGACCCCTCAATATCTTCCACTTCCTCATCTGTCCCCAGCACACCTATTTTCTACATCACAAAACCTAAACCTCCCTTCAGTTTTCCCCAAGTTCCCACAGTTATCCTCTCTTTGCCGCCAAGTCAGAAAGAAGCAGAGAGCAACTGTGGTTCAGCCAATGAAGGCACACTGACTCTTCAGCAAACCAGCAAAGAGGAAAGCTGGGCTCTCTCTTTTTCCCTCATTGTGTGGGAATCAGGTATCCTTCAAAACTGGATGACACTGGTGCAGAGATTCAAGAGTTATTGGAGAGGAGCCAACAGACAGACTGATGACATATAATTAATTTCTTTCTGAAACACTGATAAAATAATCATCGTGAGATAAACCATCTGCCCATCAGTTCCAATCTTCTCATGTGTTTCAGAACCACAATCCTGCCAGTGTGGGTTTCCTTAAAGCCCTTCATCATTGTGAAACCTTTGAAAATGTTGTTACAAAGCATCACTTTTGGACCTCTGGTCAAGAAGAAGACTTACACTGAATTTCAACAGTTTGGCCTGTGTGTCCCCAACACTGCCACTGCACAGGTGTGTACTAGCACAGATGTAACGTAGAAGTGAGGTCTTTGTGGCATCTGCTGTCCTGAGCAGTTTGGAACAATAGTTTCAACACTTTCCCTGGACCCTTTTATATATTTGGCAGTGCCAGGCTGAGGTAGTGAAATCCCAAACACAGAACATGGAAGTAGTTGTCTAGAGAATTGTTCCTTTGAGATGTTTTATGGTGCAAGGGGGATGTTCCAAGAGGGGGAGAACTTCACTCTGTTCTTACCTCTCCCCAAATGCCAACAGTGTCTCTGATGTCATTTTTACAGTAAGAGAGTTGTCTGATGCAATTGTTCACAGCAACACTGCTCTTTCCAGGAGCCAGATCTTCTTCTGCCATTTCTACCCAGCCCAGAGATCGCACAGCGAAGCACTGAAAAGAAATCAAAAACCATCTGTCATACAACAGCAACTAGGCAGTTAATGTTAAAGGTCTCCATCTAGAACTGGAAAAAAAATTAAAGCCTTGTAGATGGGCTTACAGTCAAAGATAAGTAAATGAAAATACAATTTGTGAATGGCAAGGTAAAAACATTTAAAGGAACAAAGAAGAATGCATGCCTTGCTATGAAAGGTGTCTGTGGAGGTAACAGCGATGCCTTCCAATAAAATAATTTTGCTAACATAAAGGAGGAAACAAGGGAGCAGTAAATATTAGGATACATACAAATACAAAAACAATAAGGGAAAAAACACAACTATAGATAGAGTATAATTGAAATTTTAGCTAGAATCTAGTGTTTTCATTGAAAAGAAAGAAAACGCTACTGGATTATGTCTCCATTATGTGAGATGGCCACTGTCTGGCTTTTAACCAGAAAAATACACTTTTTTGTGGATTACAGCAATCACTTCTATAGTAAGTTTACCTAAGGTAGCAAACAATAACAAATTCAAAGCTAAGAAGAAGATAAGTATCATAAGAGGAAAGCAGGCTTTTTCTAAAAGAAATTCAAAATTACCTTTAAAATAAAACACTCTAATTATACATTTGTTAGCAGAAAGATGTTTAGCCAACCAGAGCACTCAGTTGGCAGAACAAGCCAAGGCGATATTATTTTGCACATATGGTACTTTTTGCAAACAAAACAAAATGGAAGAAATTGAATGGTACCATCTCTACCCTAAACCTAAGGTAAAGAATAAAAAGTGTTCTGAAAAAACAAAACCTGCTCATTTGCTCTCAGGCATTACGGTGGGATAAATACAGACCTCACACTAAGTCAACAGGAGTTTGTCTATGAGGCAAGGCTTCTTCCAGAGAAGGTTACAGGTGTTTCACTCTGAACTACAGCAATGGGCTCAGCAGGCTGGTTGTTGTACCTCCCGAGCAGACCCAACAAATGCTTCAGATGGTTCCTAAAGGGTCAGCAAGAGCAGACCAACACTCATGGTTGAGTGCTGCTGCCTTGTGCCGCACAGCTTTCCTTGCTGTCAGCAGCATCCTGCGGGTCCTTGGGAAAGCAGAGTGTGATTCTGGGAGCTGCAGGAAGGCAGGCAGTGCTGGTGACTGCTGGGAGCCCTGCTGCCTCCAGCAGCACACTCTACACAGCCCAGGAGCTCCAACAGCAGGCCCATGCTGCAGCTACCAATCCTTCTTCAAATGCAGTAAATAAATCAGCTTCAGAGCTCAAAAGCTGAGTCTTCACTTGCCACCTTCTAAAACCTGCTGTGAAGTCAGTGAGCTGATGAAGCTCACACACCATCCCTGGTGTGTCGTTTGGGAGCAGCTGCCCTCAAAAAAACCCTACCCCAGAACACCAAGGTATTTTAAATATGCATAATGTGTCAACTTTGGCACACTAAGGAAGGAATAAAATTCACCAGTGGATAAAAAGATTAATGAGTTTCTCCTTTCCTTTAAAACTTCTCTCTTCCTTCAGCCTTCTTTCAGTTTGCACAATGCACTCCAAGCTCACTCTGCCAAGCAGGAAAGCCAGGTGAAGAGCCTGCTTCCTGAACCTCTGGTACCCACTCCAACGCGCCACTAACCAAGCATCTCACCTCATCTCAGCTATCAGACAGCAAATACACTCTGCAATTGTATAAAACCCTTTAGTGACTGTAGATGAAAAATTAACGCCTTTCATGCCTCCAGCTTTTTGTGGATTTTTTTTTCTTTTTTTTTTTTTTTGCTTTGCAAACAAGGCAATCAACATGCAAATTTTCCCACACTGCTGCTTCCTGACCCAGCTCTGCTGGAAACCCACAAAAGTGCTGACTTTCAATTCTGAAGGGCCATGAAGGAGAAGGTGAAAGAGGAGACAAAGGAGGGGTCAATACTCAGGGGTGCTCTTCAGGGCCACACAAGATACAAAAAACCCCCATTTTTTAGCAATTATTAAGGTGGTCTAATCTTAAGATTGCAGAATTGTTTCAGGCACATTAGATGCTCATGAATCTTGCTAAAAGTGCCACTATACTCACTGGGGTATTAAATATTTATCTTTGCAAGCTTTAAAAATACTGATTCTACTGTACCAGAAGAAAGGTTTTTTTTACAGGTATTTAAATATTAAACTGAATAGCAGAATACTAGCAGAGAGAAACATTTTCTAAATCATAAGAAAGGTGAAGAACTAAATATGTACAATAAGCATACTGTTTCCTTGTTGCTCTTCACATCTCAACCACATCTGCAATTTCTTAGCTGCTTTCTGAACACAAGGATAAATATGGAATCACAGAATGCTTTGGGTTGGAAAGGACCTTAAAGATTGCCTAGGGTCAATCCCCTGTTGTGGGCAAGGATACCTTAGACCAGACCAGATTGCTCAGAGGCCCACCCAACCTATATAGTCCTTGCACTGAACAGAGTGTATCTTAAGAAGGCCAAAAATGATGAAAGACTATCAATTCAATTTGGCAGCAGGTAAATCTGTTATTAGTAAAGATGGTGAACTGTTTTGCTGGTTTTTTTCCTGATTTTTTTCCTTTTTTTATTCTATGTTTGGAATGCTCTGGTGGTAGCATCCACTGTGTTTATACAGCCCTGTACTGCCAAAACAGTACAGTGAGCAGAACACAACACGCTTGTCTACCCCACATATTGCCCTCCATGTGAAGGACCTGGCTTCCTTCCCTGCTTCAGTTCCCTCTTGGTGCTTCCAAGTAAGGTAGGCATGAGAAAGCCCTTGGCTTCTGGCACCTGACAAGTTTTTGTGTATTTCACAAGAAGCCCTTACCATAACCCAAACAAAACGCTTCAGAAAACAAACCATTTTCCCAAAAACTCACTGCAAACAAAAACCTCTCAATAAACCCTAAAAAGACTCAACATTCTACTCACAAAGCAATGCATGTACCTGTGTATATATATATATATATAAGTAGCTTTCTTTTGCTCAAAATACTCCTAAAGGCCAAAAACTTGGTCTTTTGTGGCTAAGTGAATACATGTGCTGATGTGGCTCAGCAGTCATGTCTGACCCTCATGCAGATTTTCAGAACTAGAAAATAGGAGGACCCAGTAATATGTGACACACACCAGGGTCCACTCAGCATCAACAGAGCAGAAGTATATAAATACACAAATGTGGAGTGGAGAGAGGTGGAAGTCTGAGCATGCCTGTCTGTCTGTCTTCTCTGCATATTGCCAGCAGCTGGATTGTCAGAGATCCACTTCATGTTTTATTGCAGATTGCTTTTTTCCTCTCTCATTATTAGACTTAGAGGTTCTCTTCTCTTTAAAACAAAAGAGCACAAAACCCAGCAGAAACAAACCACCTAGTGTCCCCAGTCAGATATGACCTAATTTTTAGACCATGGCTGGCTGAGTCAGGCATGACAGCAGAATTGCCTAGAACTCTAATACATTAACACAGCATCATGTCCCCTGCCTCCCACCAATGACACTGACAAGCCAAGAGTCGAAGTACTTCCTCTGACCCCAAAGAGCTTTGATAATGCACTCTACTGTGTTCTGGAACTAACACCTAGAGGCAAACCAAGCAAATCTAAAAGACAGAGTGTAGCTTTTCTTCATTAAAAGTCTATGAGCTCATTCCTGGCAACGCCAGCTTGTTATGCATCTCTACTCAAGGCTTAGACATAATTAGTGGCAATTAATAATTATTGGCCCGTAATAATTTCAAAGTAATTCCCATGTCAACTTTTGTTTTACAGTAGTTTATCTATTTTCTCTTTTAGTGAAAGTTTTCTGTGCCTGGTCAGGCTGTCTGCTTGCCCTTTTTGCCAGATTCTTTTCAAGAGCTGGCAAAGAAAAACAGATTCGAAGAAAACCAAAAGAAGTTGATAAATACAGCAGGCTGAAAGATACTTAGGAACTGTATACTGTCCAAACATTGTTGTTTGGGATTGGGAAGATCAAAGGCACTACCACAAACACTGCATGGCTGAGAGAAGTGAATGAAAAAGATGTCACTTAAACCATGGTAAGTCAATAATCTTGTATTTTCATCTTGACTGGAGACTTCACATTTCCTGCCTGGCTACACAGGACATTGCGCAAAGAAGTTACACACAGGAAAAAAAAATCCTTATCACACACTAGCCCAAGAAAAGACAGGTGAACAAAAATGAAAACACAGCTATTGCTGCTTGGTTTTACAGTTCTGGAGAACCTATGTTTGAATAGTTGCAAATCCAATTAGTGTTTCAGGGTTAATGATTTGTAATCTAAGAACCAAACTCACAAATGCTGTAATCTGAACTCTGTATAGAGCTGTAAACCTCTCTTGCAGTGCAGTTCTGGTCCAAAACATTGCCTAAAGCTGGGGAACTTTAGGATTGAAGAAATGAACAAACCACAGATCACACTTTTGCTCTTTGGCATTGCAAACCCTTCAACAAAGGGCAGGGTCCAGCTCTGCAGCTCTTTCCCAAGAGGAACTCTGGAAGGAGCTTTGGCAGGGACAAAGAACTGTGACCAAGTTTTAACCATAAGCAAATGCACACTCTATCTGTTGCCTCATGCATAAGCATGCAGCATTAATGAAAAAAAGAATTGAGAAAGACAAAGCAAATACAATCCCCTACTAAAAAAAGGACAAGAGATCAAGTGCACGTGACTGATGGCAGAGTAGTGTTGGAAGCTGGATGGATCATAAAAGCGTGGATAGAAAAGATCCCACACAGGGTGAAAGTGAATTAGAACATCAGTTTGAGAACAACTAATGTACATTACCAGACCACAGACAGATTGCTTTTCATATTACACAGCTGTTGGCAACCACTATGAACACATCTGCATTAAGAGTATGTTTGCCTTGATGCTTTAAATATGTGCTACTTGTTTCTTCTCTACTTCCAAGCCCACAGGACTTGGTTTTGAGTAGTTTCCCTTTGTTTCCTTTTATATTTTTCCTTTTTAAAGGTTATATCTGCCTGCAGACACATAAATCACTACAATAT